ACATATGGGCTCCTGTGGGGATGCCTCGATATTGCCTGTGTTTCAATTATGTGTAGTAATGATAGGCAGTGGCTAGCAGTGGAATCCAGGATGAGCATTTCATCCTATTTGGGACTCACAGGTCAGCTGGATGTACCTGACTCACAGTGAGTGATCCTTTTCCCATCGGGATTCGGACCCGGGGGCGATCGCTTCAAACGCCAGTCACGACAGCCACTTCTTCAGCGACGGGTATAGTTTTTAGTAAGAATTGTTTTCATATGATACCGTCGTTGACTGAACCGAATTGATTGGTGTCACCTGGATTCCACTGTTAGCCACGATCCGTCATTAACATAATTAGAACAGGCAACATCGAGGCATCCATACAGGAGCCCATATGCCAATAGAGATCGATTAATTCGGTCCGATCAACGACGGCATCATATAAAAACAATCATACTAGTAGTGTAAATTGTCTAGCAATAAATAAATAACGATCTACAGTCTGCAGTACCGCACTTCCACTTGAAAATGCCTCAACGACTTCAGTAAGAAAGACGTCATACCACTGACCGGTATCCAATATCAATCCAGTGAATTAAAGTATGTTGAATTTTAAGTAGAATTACATATCTTGATATGTTAAACTGAAAGCAATTGTCGAATTCATAAAGAAGAAATCGTGTTTAATTGCACTACTGATTAGTAGTTTGCGAGTAATCAACTCTCAGGAACAAACCGCACAGCTAGAAGACAACTGATATTCTTATTGTTATTATTGCAACACAAACATGGTACAGCCAAGATACACGGAAATGTGCTACACAAAATAATATAACACCATTTTGAAGACATAAAACATAATAGGAATAGAAAAATCAGGAGGGAAGCTCAGTAGGACACACTTATCAGAGACAGAAGATAGAAGGGAGCTGCAGCATGACCAACACTGATTTCAATACTGATTCATAACTGATGACGTTTCAAGCCTCTGAGTTGGATGATCTCTCGGACCTCACCCAATCAGTCGTGATGCGCCAATACATACTAACCCGATACAACTATCCTTCATCCCACGGCGCCACGTCATACACTGACCAACCCTCTGTATCTTCCTCCCATTCCCAGGGCTACCAAACAATAAACGGTGTAGAAACCGTTAGGATGATATGCATAAGACATATCCAAGCCACTGAAGCCGGTGTTTCAAACTGATTTCACTTATTCAATAACGATCTCCATCATGCCTAAACACACGCTTTCGTACCTCACAATTACTTATACGGTGTTGCCACTGGATATGAGCAGTCCTACGGAGAAAAGATTGACCGAACTAACAGTCATTGCACATTCTCAGCTCAGCTCACATCGAAGCGTTGTAAACGCGGCTTTTTACGGTCAGACTAACGTCGTGACGGTGCCAAAGGTGACTTAGGTTGGCGTGTGCCACGTCGGCTTTCAATATGAGTTTGGAAGTTTCACCACTTATACAACTACCCAGATACATGAAGTTTACGACTACTTCCAACGGATCACCACCAAGGATGGGTGAAGGCCAAGGATCCTGCCAATCTTGCAGAAGTACTTTGCACTTCGATGGTGCAAGGCAAATACACCATACTTACGGAGCTACAAGTCATCGCATAGCCATACTGTGCCACTTTTAGAAATGATGACTTCGTAGCCCGTAGGAAACTAAATCTAAGATTACATCCCAATGTTTCATGAGCTTCAGACAAATTCAGTTAGAAAGTATCTGAAGAGAACAGCAGTCGGTTGAAAATCTTCCACAACTATCACCTAATTAAACATCTTGATGCCTGAATTCAAGAAATTTGCAGCTATCCTATAACAGGTGACACTTTGTTTCCATGGAAAAGCTTGAATACGTCATGCTATATAGACAAAACAGAGTTCAAACCATATAGTGACCTCGAAAAGTCATCCAGTTTGTAATACTTTAAATCAAAGGATACCATAAATGTTGAGACTAGTATTTTGCATGTTGACTCAAGTGTTCTAACGCGCATCCAAGGATTTCCGTTCTTCGATGGAAATAATGACAAAAAAATTTAAGTACAAAAGTACTTTCCGGCATAATTGATCAGTTAGTAAGCCCAACTACTTAATAATTTATCAGTAGTTTTCAAAAACTATCTAAAGTAAGTAACTGTATCCTCTATAAACTACTGATCATCATGGGAAGCTTGAAATACGCTGAGAAAATAAACAGACGTGTTCAATCTCTTCTCCTTTCATCATTTTAATCTTCAATCGTCGATAGAATTCCATCAGTATTTTGCATTAGACAACATGAGATTGATTACTCTCCAATGACCTACAGGAGATCAACAGTAGCGCAAATAGCTCAGTGGTAACGTTGTTGACTACAACACTAATTGGTGTTGGTTTGAATTTCATAAGGGATATCCGTTACCTCGAGGTTGCAGATACACCTTGTTGACGAGTGTCAACAAGCACGAAAGCCAGGTCAGGTAGAGCTTCCTACCGATTGCATCCATCCAACAACACCATGGTGCTGAGCCTCCTAGTCTGGCAGCCACACTGACTAGCATTAGTAGAACTATTGGAAACCACTGTACAGCTGTTTCTTCCCGGTATAGGTCTCTTCATCGGTGCACACCCATTACCCCGTCATGGATCGGAACCAGAACCTCCAGTTTCCTTGACCACTACGTTACCATTGAGAGCCAATGAGTCGGAATCTAATGGTGCACATTTCTTACTTCTGTCAGTTCACGACATGTCCCCAACCATCACAACTTCTCAATGGGGCTTCGGAAATCCCTTCTCGAAGCTATTCATCAGTGAGTACTAGATGAATTCAATTTCGAGATTTTATTGAGGATTTACTGATTGATTTCAGCTTGGTATACACCATGTGTTGACACCAGTTGAAAGAACACTGGGAACCAAAGAACATTAGACAGGTGTTTCGTCCCACTATATGACTCTTCAGTGGTGCCACCCCCCATCAACTCCGTGATAAATACCAACCTAAAACCATTAAATGCATCTCAATAAATCTCCTAGCTCCCGGATGTGAGTCCCGAAGTTCCTGTGAGAAGTCGTGACCTTTTAGGAGGCTAACTAAGTCGGATGACATTGGACTAATATTGCACTATATCGTGAACTGAGAGCAGTAAGGAAATACAGACCAGTAAACTCTGATTTAGCAGGTGAACGGTTGACACTTTCACCACGAGAACTGAAGGTCTTGAGTTCAGTCCTTTCCACGTTGTGTAGTGCACACTGCCAGAACGAAACAACTATCCAGTCATCTCAGGTTTTCAATGATCCGTGATGAATAACAGCTTAAAATCAATGAATCCCGCATAACTTTCAAAATGAAATAACATTTTGCTTTATATTTCACAACCTTGTGTGTATTGTATACATTGAACAGGAGAGAAGAATGTTGATAACTCCGAGTATATAACCACACTAACAGGAAAGAACAAGTCGTATTGATGGGCTACTTGTCATTTCTTCTTCCTTTATGTATTAACGCACATAGACTTGGCAGATAACTCTGTGAATTTGTGACACATCAGTTTAAACAGCAGCCGACAGACTTTCAAACCACTTCAGTTACTGAAAAAGCTCAAATGTGACATTGTATCACAATGCCTAGCTAGATCAATGTCAATGGGACGTTTTATGTAGGCAGCAGTCGGTTAATGCTTAATCTCAGACCAGGGAATAGCCTAACTAGTCTTAGCTCTTCATCTTGTAAATACATAACTTTGACTTTTCCTATGGAACTAGTTATTTAGGGCGTAAGATTAGACAAGTAAGTCTCCGGATACAAGAGCATTTACCAGCTTGGTTGGGAAAGAGTGAAATGAAATTGTTGAAAAATTCAGTCCTAGAGCATTCAGTTGACACAGGGCATCATGATATAGGATGGTAATTGTGATTTGAATGTCATTCATCGTGTTCTAAAAACGACATCATATGTAGCTCGCCAACTCCTACTCAATATACCCAAGGCTGTTGCAATAAGATTGAAAAAGCTTGAACTCTATCCAAGTGTTACTTCTCCTTTCGCCTTCAGATAACTAAAAGTAATTTCGGCCATTTTATTGTTTATGTTTTTGTTCAACACCAATCGTATCATTCTTCTGTATATGTATCATCCCAATATTGACTAATTTAAAACGGATAATACCTCAACTTCATCGACTTCGAAAAGGCCTTCGACAGGGTCGACCAACAAGTAATTTGCGACGCAAATGATTCAAAACTACGGAATACCACAAATCTTTATCAATCTCATTCAACAACTATATGAAGACGCCACATCCCAAGTAATTCACAATGGAAAGCTCAGTGATATTTTTGAAGTGAAGACAGGAGTAAAACAAGGCTGCCACCTACTATCACCCATGATATTCCTGATTGTAGTCGACTGGGTCATGCAACAAACTGTGAGGAGCAAGAAGAGGGACATACGCTGACTGGACTGGGGAAAACAGCCTTGAAGATTTGGATTTCACCACTCATGACTTGTGTCTAATCTCACACAAACTTGAAGATCTACAGACAAAAATCCAACAAGTTGACACAACAGGCAGGGCAGCGAAGACCGCACTTCCTTCAACAAAACGTACACAACACAGACGTGATGAAGAGACTCAACCCACACCACCACCGTCATCATCACCACCAACAACAACAAGCTCCAATCACCATCAATAGGAGAAACTTAAAGGAAGTAGCCTCTTTCACCTACCCACCTGCCTACCTAGGCAAGGCAGCATCGTTTCAACTACAGGCAGCAGCACAGACACAGACGAGAACGTCAAAGCCAGCCAGCCACGATCGCAAACACAGCAACACAGGCAGGCATTCATTAACCTGAAACCAGTGTGCAGATCTACTGCACTCCACTCCACTACACTCAGCATAAAGCGTCAACAACATCCGCATTCTCAACACCAATCCAGTCAAGTAAGTCACTGTTTCTATGTGATGGTTGAGGGACTTGGCGTGTTACGAAAGGCATTTCCAACAAACTATAGATATTCATCAACAACGAACTCTGGCTGTCAGGGAACCAAGGAAGCAAGAACCTATCGCTCAACAAGTATGCAGAAGGAAGTGCCGATGGATGGAGATGGATGCAGTGAAGAAATAGAAGCCAAATGGGAAACGATGAGTGGGGGCGTCTAAGGGTGATATGAAGGAGATCGTGTGAGGAAGAAATGAGAGCTTTTGGGCTGTCGTGTAACCAGGTTGAAAAGATTTCAGAGAAGAGAGTGCACTGGAGGCGTGTTACTGAAGGCCTATGTTCCATTAGGAACCTGAGGGACAACTAGTAATAAATGATAATAAAAGGGATAAATCGATTTCACTGCAATCCCTATATCTTTTTTTCCATAATTGTAAAACCTGAAGAAAGGAATGATTAACTCGGTCACTATGAAACCTGAAGGTGCTGAGTTCGACCCCCTAGCCGGGTCATGGGTCTACACTGCTGAGTAGTCACATACTAGTTGGATGAAACACCTGTCCCCTAACTAATGATGAATACTTCTTTATGATAGATAAATGTATAGATTATACAACAACAACAAAAAGGATAAACCCACATATATTATCTTCGTGATTTTTTCTTTTTTATTGTTAATTTTCAATTTTATTCTGTGTTATATCATTTAAATTATTCATTATATATTGTTTATTTGTATTATTTAATAATTCATTAGCTGTTAATTGATAATTAGATTCCCACCATTGTTCACGTAATTTATAAAGAATACAACGTATCATTTTATTTTGTATACCCCATTGATTAATAAGCATATTACCATTGATTGGAAATTTTGGTGGTTGCCATATTAACCATTGGTTTAAAAATATTTTATCATGTACTAAATATTTTAACATTTCTATTGTAACATATTTTAATTGATTATGTTCTTGTGATAATATATATTCTTTTTCATAGAATTTTAATACATCATTTATATGATATAAATTAGCACAATGATCACGTTTCTTTATGATATACAATAGGATAGCTAAATCAATATTGGAGAGATGAAGACGTTTATCTAATATTTCAACCTTAAAAAGGAAGCAGAATTAAACAATAAACAAGATGACAAATACATTATACTCATATACACCTGTGAAATAATAAAAACTATGTTTATAAGGTAGACTGTAGTGTATACCGATGCTTACATACATTGGATAGACATCATACATCTAGCTGAACATGTTCGAACTTGAAGAAAAAAGAGTTTTCTTTCTCACAAAGACTGGATCATTGTAGGAAGCGCTTTGAACATCTATTCATATATCTTTCTTTGATTAACAAACATTAATGATTCGCTTAAGCAATATATGAAGAGAAGGTAGAATACAATTTCATTCCATATCATTTATTCCCAATTCACTCTTGTTTCAATACTCTCCGGTGTTATTTCTCTTTATCGTCTTAACCACGAGTCATATACATTCGATGATTATTATTATTACTTCCTTAGGTTCCTAATGGAACATAGAGCTTCAGTAGCACATCTCCAGTGAACTCTGTTCTCCGAAATCTTTTGAACCTGTCTCCACGACAGCCCACAACCTCTCATTTCCTCCTCTATGTCACTCTCAGACGTCCAACTCATCGCTTCCCATGGGGATTCCACTCGAGCAACTGGCCTGACGCGTGATCTCCCTAGTCGGCTTTCTCAGTGTATGCCCAATCCATCTCCACTTCATTCGGTTGGTTCGTTCCCAGAGTTCCTTGTCGCTTATTCTTATTATTCTCGCCATCTGATCTTCAGTAGCGAGCGTAAGCAGATACATTCGATGAACCATAACATAATTCATTTTGTTATCACTCATACTTCGAGTGTTAACAAAAGTACATTTATCGTTATCATTATTATTTAGTATAATTGTTTTTATATGATACCGTTGTTGTTGATTAAACCGAATTGATCGGTCTCTATTAGTATATGCGCTCCCGTGCGGATGCCTCGATGTTACCTATGTTCTAATTATGTCAATGATGGATCCTGGCTAGCAGTGAAATCCAGGATGCGCATTTCGTCCTATTTGGAACTCGTCGCACAAGAAGTGGCTATCGTGGTTTGGTGGTGTAGTGGATAACGATATTGCGTTTGAAGCGATCGCTCCCGAGTCCGAATCCCGGTGGGAAAAACATCACTCACTGTGACGCAGATACATCCAGCTGACCTATGAGTCCCAAATAGGATGAAATGCGCATCCTGGATTCCACTGCTAGCCACTGTCTATCATTACTATACATAATTGAAACACAGGCAATATCGAGGCATGCGCATAGGAGCCCATATGCCTGCCGACGCAGACTGATCGATTCGGTGCAATCAACGACGGTGTCACACAAGCAATAACGGTAACAACTATTACTATTTTTGGTCTTACGCTGCACAGACGGAATTCATATTTGTAGAACATGTATTCCACTCCCACGATCCATCATTAACATTATTATTATTATTATTATTATTATTATTATTATTATTTATTTATTTATTTATCATATATCGTCTGATCTTCAAATATTCATCCTTTCAAACTAGTAGTCTATTCTTTCTCACCCTTCATGTCTTACAACCCCATTGTACTTTTCATCGACGAAGTAAAATAATTTTCCCCACCTTATTTTTGTCCCACCTTACTCGCACAACTGAAGAAAGCCTCTCCAACCGAGTTGCTTATTCACTCACCTGTATTACATTGATCTTTGCTTCATATCACTATGTAATTAGATGATTTGAAAGGTCACCCCACCTTCTGTATCAAAACTTGAATATTAACCAACCAACTAACATCTACCTTGGTAATGCTTACTTCATTGTATTACCAAGATTGTCTTCAAATCTCATGTTTTTTCCCTCTCACTAACCATCCTTATTATTAAATTCCTTTATGTCATATATATCCTTCTTCTACTTCCAGTTTTCATATATTTAATGCCTTGTGACAAGTAAATGTGTGAGGGATTAGATTGTTCGAAATGTATAGCGCTAATCCAGCACATATTGTTCAGATAATCTACGTCTTCTAGTCACATTATCCAAATAATAATAATAATAATAATAATAATAATAATAATAATAATAATGATAAAAGTGATAACGTTAACTAAAGCACATGCAATATAGATGATGATAATGATGATGATGATGACGATAACAACCAAGAAAGCAGCATGAAAATGTATACACTCCGATAATAATCAAAGTAGCTCAACAACACTTAGAGAGAGAGAGAGAGAGAGAGTGCGTAGTGGTTGAGTGTATCGACCACTTAACTTACCTGGGAAGTAGGATCAGCCTTGGGGCTTCGGTCAGTGGCCGATGAAATCTCTGCATGAAAACAAAAGGTTCGGTTGGCTTTTGCCAACTTATACCACCTGTGGCACCGCCGTCATATACGTTTGTCTATTAAGGGTCACGTGTACTGCACCTGCGCAACAGTCCTCTCTCTTCTATCGTATGGCTGTGCAACATGTCCATTAAAGGTGAAAGGCATAAGAAAACATTAAGGGTTTGACCACCGTTGCTTTCACAGTATAGGCCATATTCTGTGGTGTCACCATGTGAGTAATGCAGAAGTCAGGTGTAGAGTTTTAGGAAGAAGATGTAAATCAGTTGACACGGTTGTAAACCTTCATCAACTGAGATGGTTGAGACACGTGTTACGTATGCCTAGTCACCAATTGCCTCGTCACACAATGTTGGCCGAAGTAGGTTCAGGCTGGAAAAAGGCCTGAGGTGGCCAGATTAAAACATGACATCAATGTATGAAGTCTCTGACTGTTGGTTTGAACCATGTGAGGCGATGCAAACTGGGTGGTTGGGGTCCACGGGACAAGAGGAACCAGTGGTTGGAGACTGACTCTAGGTGATCACATGGCTGAGAACCGATGTCAGTGGTGCAGATGTATCCCCACACAGATTATCCTCATCTTAACGCTACATCGAATATCACCATTTTCTCATTCTTTCTTCCTCTCTTTTTGTACTTCACTACCTTTTTATTTGATGTACTGATATGAGCTATGGCAACTCGGACGGTTACGTAGTAACGCCTGGTCCTATGTAGATAGGTGATGATGATGAACCAGCCCATAATATTCTTATTATCTCCCACCAACAACAATTGACATAACACATCCAAGCACACCATGTTAGATAGACAGACAGGAAAAATCAACGTAGAACGTCGCATACAAGTAGACACAGTTGTGTGACAGAATAATTAATTTGAAGATTATGGTTACATCAGTTATTCGAACATAACATGATGTCAAAGAATGAATAAAGCTACACCATTGTGACCGATTTTCAATCATGTCACTAATAGCCCTTAGGCACTACTAATTCCAGTAGTCTCACAGGGCCCCCAATCAATCAAGTAATCTACATTAATCCCATAAAAACAGTCGAGGACTTCATCTACTGATGTCCCATGTTGGTCTAACCGTCCTGAACCCTTTTCCGACCTTCCGCTACATGTCCATACCACTTCAATCGATAAAAGTTCACGAAATAAGGGTATGTAAATTAATATTAATGGAAAAAACTGAGTTTTCAGTATCTTGTTATCCGTATGATTTGAAATAAAGTACTTCAATCAGGTCCCTCAACATAATGATAATAATAATAGGATATGTATAGTAATAACCTCGCCTGGTTAACTAGTTTACTAGTTACTAGCCGGTCCTAAGCCCGGGTAAAGAGGGAAGGTTGGGCATAGGGCTAGCAACCCTACCCCGTAAAACAAATCTAACCGCTAAACAAACTTCAAAGCACAAACAAAATATAAAAAATGAAAACAAACTTATTCCCCGCTGGAATCGGAGAGGCGAAATGACGCCAGTTGGTGAAAGCCTTCGGGAAGCCAATTGGCCGATGTGTCTTCTCTCGATGAAAGCGAAAGTAAACGTGGGGACATGGAATGTCCGCACGATGTTTGAACCCAGTAAGGCAGCCCAGATTGCAAGGGAGATGAGAAGGTATAACATCGAAGTGCTTGGGATTTGCGAAAGCAGATGGAATGGGAGTGGACTCTCCAAACTATCAACTGGAGAATCAATAATCTACTCTGGTCACCCAGACGCCAACCACGAGCACACTGAGTTGGAGTGGCTATCATGATGTCCTCAAGAGCATCGAAGGCTCTCATGCAGTGGGAACCAATCTCCTCCAGGATCATGACAGCAAGATTCAACTCAAAAGGAAGAAAGGTCACAATCATACAATGTTATGCACCTACAAATAATGCAGAGCAAGAGAAAAAGGAGGATTTCTACAGACAACTTCAATCAACACTGGACAAGACGTCAGTTGGCGATATCAAAATTCTGATGGGCGACATGAATGCCAAACTGGGAGGGGACAACACGGGAAGAGAACTAACCATGGGTCGAGAGGCACTAGGTGAAATGAATGAGAATGGAGAATTGTTTGCAGAATTCTGTGCATTCAACGATTTGGTGATTGGAGGCAGTGTGTTCAGGCACAAAGATATCCACAAAGCGACATGGATTTCACCAGATGGACACACTAAAAATCAAATCGACTTTATCTCAATCTCAAGAAAATGGAGACGCAGTCTACTTAACACAAGGTCAAGAAGAGGAGCAGATGTAGGTTCAGACCACTACCTAGTGCAAGGAACCTTCCAAATCAAGTTAAAAGCCTTCAAGGAAGCTGGTGATAGACCTCAACCCAAGTACAACACTCGGAAACTGAAGGATGAAACTACAAAGGAGATCTTCAAGGCAGCCATCAAGACAAAATGGGAGACATCGAGCAACATCCCTGAAGAAACCTGTGTGGAAGAACACTGGAAGTCTTTGAAAGCTATGTGGAAAGAAACCTGCACAACAGTATTAGGAAGGAAGAAGAAAGAAGACAAGGAATGGATCTCGACGGATACCTGGAAGCTGATAGAGGAGAGGAGGATGGTGAAGCAGAAGATAAACCAGTGCAAGGATGCTCAACGACAAGAGGAACTGAGCACAATGTATAAAACACTGGACAAAGAAGTGAAGAAGAGTGCACGCAAAGACAAAAGACACTTCTACGAAACACTGGCAAGTGAAGCAGAACAGGCTGCAGGTAAGAGAGACCTGACGACATTGTATCAAATAACCAGGTTGCTATCAGGGAAGAGACCAACACAGATGAAACCAATAAAAGATGAAGAAGGAAATTTAATTACAAAAGAAGAGAAACAGAGGAAACGATGGGCCGACCACTTCAAGAAGCTCTTGAATCGACCACCACCTGCACTTCGTCCAGAAATACCACCTGCAGCCGCTGAACTACAAGTGAACATAATCCCCCAACGAAAATGGAAGTCCTGAACGCCATAAAGCTACTGAAATGCGGGAAAGCAGCAGGACCAGATGGAATACCGCCAGAAGCACTGAGAACAGATGCAGAGACAACAGCGGACATGCTCACACACCACTATTGCAGAAGGTGTGGAAGGAAGAGAAGGTACCTGACGATTGGAAGAAGGGTTACCTTGTCAAACTGCCGAAGAAAGGAGACCTCAGTGCTTGCAAGAACTGGCGCGGAATCACTCTCCTGTCCACCCCAAGTAAAATATTAAGCCGCATCATCCTGGAGAGGCTTAAAGATGCACTGGATTCAAAACTACGACCCGAACAGGCAGGCAGGCTTCAGGAAGTACAAATCATGTGCAGACCAAATTGCAACGCTTCGTATCATCATAGAACAGAGCATAGAATGGCAATCAGCTCTCTACCTCAACTTCATCGACTTTGAGAAGGCCTTTGACAGCGTCGACCGAGAAGTAATTTGGAAACTGCTTCAATACTACGGAGTACCGCAAACCTTTATCCGCCTCATTCAACAACTATATGAAGATGCCACATGCCAAGTAATCCACAATGGGAAGCTCAGTGATGCCTTTGAAGTGAAGACAGGAGTGAAACAAGGTTGCCTACTATCCCCCATGATATTCCTTATTGTGGTGGACTGGATCATGCAGCAAACAGTAGGCAGCGAGAAGAGGGGGATACACTGGACGACGGAAAAGAACCTAGAAGACTTGGATTTCGCCGATGACTTATGCCTAATGTCACATAAACTTGAAGATCTGCAGGCAAAAACTAACAAGTTGATAGAAGAGGCAGCGAAGACGGGACTTCAGGTGAATATAGAGAAGACAGAAGTGATGAAGATACCGCACCACCACCATCAACAACAACAACAAACTCCAATCACCATCAACGGGAGAAACTTGAAGGAAGTAACCTCCTTCACTTATCTAGGAAGCACTGTTTCAACTACAGGCGGGACGGACGAGGACGTCAAAGTCAGAATCGGAAAAGCAAGACAGGCGTTCATTAGCCTGAAACCAGTGTGGAGATCTTCTGCACTCAGCATGCGGAACAAGATACGGATTTTCAACACCAACGTCAAGTCAGTGCTCTTGTATGGCTCAGAGACTTGGCGCGTCACGAAAGGTATTTCCAATAAACTACAGACATTCATCAACAACTGCTTACGCTCGCTGCTGAAGATCAGATGGCCAGAAAAAATAAGCAACAAGGAACTCTGGGAACGAACCAACCAAGAACCTATCACGCAACAAATATGCAGGAAGAAGTGGAGATGGATTGGCCATGCACTGAGAAGGCCGACTGAGGACATCACGCGTCAGGCCAGTCTCGAGTGGAATCCCCATGGGAAGCGACGAGTTGGACGTCCAAGGGTGACATGGAGGAGGTCGTGCGAGCAGGAAATGAGAGCTTCTGGGCTGTCGTGGGACCAGGTTCAAAAGATCTCAGAGAACAGAGGTCACTGGAGGCGTGCTACTGAAGCCCTATGTTCCACTAGGAACCCAAGGGACTAATAATAAATAATAATAATAATGTATAGTAATGATGGGCAGTGGCTAGCAGTGGAATCCAGGATGCGCATTTCGTCCTGTTTGGGACTTACAGGTCAGCTGGATGTACCGGCTTCCCAGTAAGTGATGTTGTACCCACCGGAACTCGGACTCGGGAGCGACCGCCTCAAACGCCAGTGAGTTACCCACTCTACCACCAAGGTACGATAGCCACTTCTTGTGCGGTGGGTATAGGTTTAGTGTTATTGCTTGTATTACACCGCCGTTGATTGCACCGAATTGATCAGTCTGTGTTGGCAGGCATATGGGCTCCTATGCGGATGCCTCGATATTGCCTTTCTTTTAACTATGTATAGTAATGATAGGCAGTGGTTATGATATAAAACTGTAACATGGGTAAAGGAATAATTCAGCTTACTTCATCAGGTGATGACATAATTGCAGCTAAACAAGTGACTGGATTTGGTGAAGTTGATAGGATACCTTTATGCCAAACTTTATCAAGTTCCTCAAAATTGGGATTTTCAGGAAGACCAAGATGAATAAATAGACCAGCATCTGCCATACGACGTAAAAGAAATGGAGTTGATGGATATAATAAAATTTTTTTTAATTCACTCCAACAACGTTCACCAGATATCTTAGCTAAACCATCAGCATTTGATGCGATAACCTGTAGAAAATGATTACACAATCTCGCATTGATTAAAAAACAAAAAAAAGGCATAACCATAACAGAATCGTTACTAACTTACACCTACTCAAGTTATAAATGCATAAAATGACTGTTTGGTATATTTAATAGGTTAAATTCCTCAATCTCTGTGTCGAAACCTCCTTACGGCCTGATTACTCATTATATTTCGATAGGCGGACAGACAGAAAAAGCATAGTCTGGAGAGCGACCAATCAAAATATACTTTGTGTACACGTCGACGATTAGACAGACACACTGGATCAGCCAATCAAAAGGCAGATTTTAAACAGTGGACTATATGTGTGTGTGTGTGGCGCTTCGATTGCATGGCAGTCAACTCGTTACCTCAAGTTCATCGACTTCAAAAAGGCCTTCGACAGGGTCGACCGACATGTAATTTGCGACGCAACTGATTCAAAACTACGGAATACCACAAATCTTTATCATTCTCATTCAACAACTATATGAAGATGCCATATCTCAAGTAATTCACAATAGAAAGCTCAGTGATACTTTTCAGGTGAAGACAGGAGTAAAACAAGGCTGCCACCTACTATCACCCATGATATTCCTGATTGTAGTCGACTGGGTCATGCAACAAACTGTGAGGAGCAAAAAGAGGGGCATACGCTGACTGGACTGGGGAAAACAGCCTAGAAGATTTGGATTTAGCCAGTCATGACTTGTGTCTAATCTCACACAAACTTGAAGATCTACAGGCAAAAATCCAACAAGTTGACACAACAGGCAGGGCAGCGAAGACCGCACTTCCTTCAACAAAACGTACACAACACAGACGTGATGGTGATACCCAACCAACACCACCACCAACAACAACAACAACAAGCTCCAATCACCATCAATAGGATAAACCTAAAGGAAGTAGCCTCTTTCACCTACCCACCTGCCTACCTAGGCAAGGCAGCATCGTTCCAACTACAGGCAACGGCACAGGCACAGACGAGGATATCAAAGCCAGCCAGCCAGCCAGCCAGCCACGATCGGAAACACAGCAACACAGGCCTTCCTTCATTAACCTGAAACCAGTGTGCAGATCTACTGCACTCAGCATAAAGCGTGAAAAACATTTGGATTCTTAACACTAATCCAGTCAAGTTAGTGCTTCTGTATGGTTCAGAGACTTGGCATGTTAAGAAAAGGATTTTCAACAAACTATAGATATTCATCAACAACTTCTGCCTACGCTCACTCGATACTGAAGATCAGATGCATGGCGAGAATGAATAAGCAAGAAGGAACTCTGTCTGTCTGTCTGTCTGTCTGTCTGTTTGTCTGTCTGTCTGTCTGTCTGTCTGTCTGGCTGGCTGGCTGGCTGGCTGGCTGGCTGGCTGGCTGGCTGGCTGGCTGGCTGGCTGGCTGGCTGGCTGGCTGGCTGGCTGGCTGGCTGGCTGGCTGGCTGGCTGGCTGGCTGGCTGGCTGGCTGGCTGGCTGGCTGGCTGGCTGGCAACGAACCAACCAAGCAAGAATCTATCGCTCAACAAATATGCAGGAGAAGGAAGTGGAGATGGATTGGGCATACACTGAGAAGACCATTCAGCGACATCACGTGACAGACCAGGCCAGGCACTCGAGTGGAACTCAGATGGGAAACGGCGAGTTGGGTAAAGGTGTCCGAGGGTGACATGGAGGAGATCATGTGAGGAAGAGATGAGAGTTTCTGGGCTATTGTGGAGCCAAGTTGAAAAGATTTCAGAGAACAGCGTGCACTGGAGATGTGCTGCTGAAGCCTTATGTTCCACTAGGAACTGAAGGCACAAATAATAATATTATAATAGATGTAAGTATTTAGTTGGTACAAGTTTCATTCTCTAGTTTACACCATAACGTTATCTTCCTATGCAGTAAACAGTTTCGGCTAATTTTTGTCTAGGATAATGAACGAAACGAAAAGTAACGTATTTTCGGTTTAAAAATAAGAAAAAGGAGAATATAAGACAAACTACTGAATACAAGTAAAAGTAGTCAGAGGACAAAACTAAAAAATGAAAATGTTACACAGATAGACAAACCTTTAAAATGTCTTCATCATGTTTATCATAAGTATCTTCAATGGCTAAACGACCATGAAATCGAAAATATCTTAATATTCTTAAATAATCCTCTTTTATTCTAGCATCTGGATCACCAACAAATCGTATACGATGATTATACAAGTCATCACGACCATTAAAATAATCCCATAAATATCCAAAAACTTTTGGTTTACTACTAGTTAAATCATTTTCTTTTGTTTCATTAGTCTGATCAATTAATTCATGCATATCAATACTAAGAAACATAGAATTCACTGTAAGATCTCTTCTACCAGCATCTAATTTCCAATCATTAGTGAAAGTAACTTCACTATGTCGACCATCTGTGACAACATCGATACGTAGAGTAGTAACTTCAAAATTTTCCTTAAAAAAGAAAAAAAAAGGGAAAATTTGAAATAATAAAATATTCTCGGTATATTCCATTTTAGTCTGTTTATTAGAAATATCACAGAGTGAAGGGATAGTATCATTTAAGGCATAACAACGTTTCGGAGACAACTTATATAGTCCTAATTTTCTCTCCTTCTCTATGATGACAAGGCTAGTAGAAATTTCCATAGATCTGGGACAGATGCAGAATCATTCCTATGACTCCATGTATTTGGTATTCATTCGATGAACAAAGATTCAGTCGGTTATCAATCTCTCCCTTCCTACAACCAACCAAGTTAGTTCTCGACACTGTTGCTCTATACCACCCTTCTAGCTAAGATTTTGTGCTCTGTTGTTCTAATCAACCCTGCTCGATTACTTTCACCTATTCAGTTGACCTCATAAGCATTCCAAGAGGTTTGTTAAACAAGATTAATTTGCTTAGTTGCATCCATACGATCTTTTAATCTACAAAGCTTTGTAGCGTCACACACTTCCCCAAAATCAATAGCCTAGGGTTTGACGACTTCGACATTGATGCTGGCCTTGATAGTTTAACTGGACTCGCCAAGCTGAAGGCACCCGGTCAAGCATCCTCGCCATTTGGCACGCTGTCGTTCTACGTTGCACTGCTCGTATTCGACTCTCTAGCCAGTTAGTTGGAACGCATCGGTATTTTGGCACAACCATCCAAATATACTATTCCATCCGACTACGCTATCGTGTTCTTTCTTCGTCTCGTATTCGTGGGTATATAACAAGTCCGAATAATTAGTGATTGGTCTTTGCGTCTGTCAACTTCGCACCAGGACAAATCCTAAAGCTTGTTTTTAAGCAAGTTTGTTGGTTTAAATGCCAGCCACTTTAATCCCAGTCAGCCTTATTCAGAATTCTTCGTAATGCTTCTGAGATGCCTTCCTTGTATGGGAAGTAACACAGAAGACGCTTTGAATTCTCTCTCAACCTTGTCACCATTATTACCATTAGTAGTAGAATTATTAGTAATAACATTTGTATTCGATAAACAACCTTGAAATCCTTGTTTTGGGTAGGTTGAATGGTTGAAGTCGATTATATGCTTAAGGATAGAACTTCTAATCCCTAATTTCTTGTCGTACTAGTAAGCTTTCTCACCGTATCACTTAGGTATTTAATTAAGCTTACTTTAACTAATATGGGATGGGAGGATTTGAAGTCCAGTAAGTGATACTGTTTCACTGTGTGATATTTCTAATAAACAGACTAAAATGGAATTATAATCGACCACAGTGCCCAAGTTTCACTCCTATATTTTCGAGATAATTTACCCGCCTAGCAACACATTAACTTCAATTTCCTCCCAACTGTATAACATTATTGTCTCCTTACTTTCGAGTTTTAACTTTAAAAAACGTTTGAATATCACTTCTTTGTTTTCTCACCGTCCCTCCACCCCCGGTTTACATTCCCTCATGCAACGATACGAAATGTGCCAAGTTTACGAGTTTATCAAACATGTGTACTGTATGAACGTCAACGATACCATTTTACTGTTTTAAGGACTGCTCATCAAATGCCCGTATACTTTCTCATTTACCCCATCCCACCTTACTAGGAAAAAATTCTATGATAAATGTATAAAAGTACTAAAGGAGTAGACTAAAATGAAAGTTAATTTGAATAGATAATAAAATGATGAACAGACGTACAGTAACTTCTGAGTTATTCAATTGAGAAATCGCTTGATGAGATAACACTGGATGTACATTTTTGTCTAACTTCCACAGTCTTCAAGTATTAGGACAAAATATGCAGCAAAGAGATGGAACGAGTAGTAGTTGGATCATCAATATTTCAAATAGTATCAGATATATCTATGAATAGTTGAGAGCACAGCTTTAAGAACGTTGAGTCCTGCTACTAAGATATGTTACCAATATGTGGATGATACACTTACCGCATTGAAATCATACATATTGATGGGTTTTTTCAAATCGATAAACTCAGTAGTACATATAATTAAGTTCACTTAAGGGTAGAAAATGAACACTGAGAACTAGCTATCCTGGACTGCAGAGTACAACGTCTACAGGAAACCGATGCAATTCTAACAGGCATTCAGACTTCAGGTAGTATTCAAACCTACAAACTATTTCAGAGATGATAAGTTTTAAATCTGATTGACCCAGTTAAACAAAAATAAGTTGATCCGTTGAATACTGTGGGTTTAAGTACACAAGTCGAACTAGCCAATCAGATGAGGAGAATATAAGAATTAGATAAATATAGAATGATATACTCCGATAAGAAGAATAATTTCGAAAAACATTCAGCTATTATAATGGATGCTTTCATTAACACATAACCATGCAATATGATGAATGAGATGAAATCGCTATACCTTACTTAATCCAATATAATTAGGCGGAGATTGAGTGAGTGAAAGAGAGAGATTACTGGATTTTCCTTTACTAAACCAATACGCAACACATGTAACAGGAATGATGCAACACCTATACTAATGATATGGAATATTCAGTAAAACGATAAAACTAATGATTTTAAGGTGATGGGAGATTAAAAATCAGATATCGACAGCTGTGTGTGATTACATTGATATGGTTATATGAGCAGTTATAATTTATGCTGATGACGTCATCCACTAAGTAATGGTTGTTAGTTAGTTAGTTGGAGGTAATCGACAGGAAGCCCTGCTTGACCTAGGTTTCGTGCCTTCTGGCACTCGTCAGCAAGGCGTATCTACAATCTCGACGGAAGTGATGTCCCACCTGAGATTCGAATCCGCGATACCCAGCTTTGTTGTCAGCGACGTTTACCACTGAGCTATTCGGGCCATAATCGACCTGCTGTGGGACTGGCTTACATGTATTTGTTGGTCATGGGAGTTTAACCAATTTCATGTTGTCTAGTCCTGAGTGCAGGTGACGCGGGTTTAAATCTCATCACAAGCGGGACATCACTTCCGTCGAGGTTGCATATACACCTTCCTGACGAGTGGAAAAAGTCCAAAACCTAGGTCTAGCAGGGCTTCCTACAGATTGCCTTCAACCAACTAACATGTAATAATGTGCACTGCGATGCTGAGCTTCCTAGCTTGGTTGCCACATTGCAGATATGATCGATAGAATTCGGTCTGCACTCAGGACTAGACAAGAAGAAATTAATTACACTCCCATGGCCAATCCATACTAACTAATAGTGTATCAGTGTGTGCTGTATGCATCAAATAAACAAATCTAATATGGAGTCAAATTCTACAACAGTGCCCATGATTTACACTTATATAGACGTTTCACAACCAGCCTCGACGTTTTATGTTCGCATTACATGGTTGTATGAACAGTGATGAAGAGTCATAGATTCTTATATTGGTCAGTTGAAGAACTAAGATAGGCTATTCCTAGTAAGGTTGTTGGAACACAAAGTCAAACAAATTGAAGGCGAAGGTTGATGTAAAACTTCGTTGAGGTATTTAAAGATGAAGCATCGGTTACCAAGCTATATGCTTGATTGACAGCAAACCTCTTAGAAGTTCTTATGAGTTTCCTTTACATATTTATGAAATGTTAATCGCTGGTGTGCTTTTCTTAGTCCTTATTTCTAAGTATTTAAGCTTACTTTCTTACGCCCTCCAACAAAAGCCGAAGTCTTGGATGCCATAAAGTCGCTAAAATCCGGGAAAACGGCAGGACTACATAGAATTCCATCAGAAGCACTGGAGACAGATGCAGAAACAACAGCAGACATGCTCACACCACTACTGCAGAAAGTTTGGAAGGAAGGAGAGGTACCTGCCCACTGATTGGAAGAAGGACTACCTTGTCAAACTCGCGAAGAATGGCGACCTAAGTCTTTGCAAGAACTGGCGCGGAATCATCCTGCTGTCCACAAAATATTAAACCACATCATCCTGGAGAGAATGCTCTGGATTCAAAATTACGACTGGAACAGGCTGGCTGAATTCGATCAAATTGTAACGCTACGCTATCCATCATCATAGAACAGAGCATAGAAAGGTAGTCGACTGGATCTTCACCTCAACTTCATCTACTTCAAAAATGGCTTCGACAGCGACGACCGAGAATTAATTTGGTAAGCAGCTACCTCAACACTACGCTTTTAGTGACACAAACCTTCATCAACCTCATTTAACAGCTATATGAGGATGCTACATGCCAAGTGATTCACAATGGAAAGCTCAGTGACGCCTTTGAAGTGAAGACACGAGTAAGACTAGGTGGTTGCCCCCTACTACCGCCGATGATATTCCTGATTGTGGTGGATTGGATCATGCAACAAACTGTGAGGAGCGAGATGGGCGTACCCTGGTTGGACTGATGAAACGACTGTAGAACATTCGGATTTCGCCGATGATCATTTATGTTTGGTGTCTTGTCACACAAACTCGAAGATCTACAGACAAAAACTAACAAGTTGACAGAAGAGGCATCGAAGACGAGACTTCCTTCAAGAGAACGTGGAGAAGACAGAGGTGATGAAGATACTCAACCAACAACAACAAGCACTAATCACATTAAACGAAAGGAATCTAAACGAAGTTGTCTTTTTCACCTACCTACCTAACTGGGCAGCATAATTTCAACTACAGGCGGCACAGGCACAGATGAGGACGTCAACGCTAGGATCGGAAAGACAGGAAGACATGCTTTCCTTCATGAATCTGAAATAATGAGTGTGGAGATCTACTGCACTCAGCATAAGGCGAGATCAAGATCCGGATTTTCAGTACTAATGTCAAGTCAGTCACTGCTTTTATGTGATGATTGAGGGACTTGGCGCGTTACGAAGAGCGTTTCGAACAAACTGCACACATACATCATGAACAGATGGCGCCTATGCTCACTCGATACTGACAGTGAAGATCAGATAGATGGTCAGAATAATAAGAATAAACAACAAAGAACTCTGGCTGACTGGCAACGAATCAACAAAGAAGCTATTGTCCAGCAGATATGCAGAAGAAAGTGGAG